CAGTAGTCCAGGCGGGAGGTGACAAGAGCATGGGTAACTGTGCGCAAGGCATCCCGGTCCAGAAAAGGCCGCAACTGGTGAACCAGGCGAACCCGGTAAAACGCCCCCCTGGCCACAGCCGTCAACTGGTCTTCCAGTGTCAGCCGTGGATCCAGGAGGACACCCAGATTGCGTACCCTCTCTGAGGGAGCCAAAGTTTTGCCCCCTATAGTCAGCGACGGAGTCAACTGACTATACCTGGGAGCCGGCAGCCACAGCCACTCAGTCTTGGAAGGGTTGAGCCTGAGTCTGTTTCTCCCCATCCAGAGACATTGGGCAACCAATGAACCTTTTCGTCCAAGAATAGAGAAGAATTTGATACTCATGGGCCAAATTTATTTAGCGTAGTTTTGGGGACGCTTGAAGACTGACATTAGTAGAATGGTGAGCTAATACTTTCACAGATTGCATTTTTAGGAAGTTCCTCAACCTTGCCATGGATTAGACTCATTATGCCAAACGTGCCATTTTTCTTTGACATCCTCCCTACCCAAAAAAAACCCCATTTACATTCAGCAGTTTGCCAACAATTTCAATAGTGTGAGTTGTTGTGACATGAAAGGATGGGCACTGCACGTGTCTTACCTAAGCCACTTTGAACTTTTCTCCAAGCCATGGTTTTAAAAAAATCATATGGTCACCACGATGTAAAAAAGATGCTGAGACTCTAGAAAGAGTACAGAGAAGAGTAACAAAGATGATTAGGGGACTGGAGGCTAAAACATAAGGAACGGTTGCTGGAATTGGGTATGTCTAGTTTAACGGAGAGAAGGACGAGGGGGGACATGATAGCAGTGTTCCAATATCTCAGGGACTGCCACAAAGAAGAGGGAGTCAAGCTATTCTCCAAGGTGCCTGAAGGCAGGACGAGAAGCAACGGATGGAAACTAATCAAGGAGAGAAGCAACCTAGAACTAAGGAGAATCTTCCTGACAGTGAGAACAATTAACCAATGGAACAACCTGCCTCCAGAAGCGGTGAATGCTCCAACACTGGAAGTTTTTAAGACGAGACTGGACAGCCATTTGTCTGAAATGGTATAGGGTTCCTGCCTGAGCAGGGGGTTGGACTAGATGACTTCCAAGGTCCCTTCCAACTTTATTATTATTATTGTTGTTGTTGTTGTTGTTATTATTATTATTATTATTAGCTGCACAGCCAGATACAAGGGGCCCTTGGTGTCAAAGGCACTGAATGATCAGGTCTAATACAGAAGGGAGAAATTGCCCTCAGAACAGAGCAGGCTGCTTCTTGCTGCATTCTCTCCAAAAGGTTCTATTAAAGTTCTCCTTTTGTTCCAGACATGTCAGACCAGGAGGAGGCTTTGTCCCCAATTTCCAACTCTTTCAAAAAGGTGATGTAAATGGGGAGAACGAGCAGAGAATTTACACCTTTCTGAAGGTTTGTATTGGTTGCACTGTTTCACAGATGACAGGAAATAAGATTTGCAGAATATTAGGGACAAACATCTAATGCCTCAATCTTAAAATTTCACCTACTTATGCAATGTTCCTGCAGGCACATTGGAGCGGGGGTTAGAATTTTCCCAATATTTTTATTTATTTCTTCTGAAAATTTTCCTTTGGAGCGATGGAAAATCTTCTGAGTGTTGTGGTACTGGAGAGCTGCAAAAAATCAGCAAAAATGACCTTTCTCCCTTGTGTTAATTGGAAGCCTCGGTGCAGCAGAAAATGTTATTCATGACAGAGCAAGGTAGAATCCAAAATATAACATGTTATTTATGCAAACCAAAACCAAGATAGAATTGCTTAGAAAGTGAGGGATAACTGGATTTTAAGGATCATTCCACAACACTACAGCAAATCAGCTTGGAATAGAATATATAACTTCATCATAAGTGGTCGTTGGTGCTCTCTGAGCTTGGTTGTTTTCTTGCAGATGTTTCATTACCCAAACTAGGTAACATCTCTGATGATGTTGCCTAGTTTAGGTAATGAAATGTCTGCAAGAAAACAACCAAGCTCAGAGAGCATCAAGGCCTCCTCATTTCAACCCTGAGCTACAATTATTCTCCTATATTGGTAACTTCATAATAGACATTGACTATAAGCCTCTTAGAAGATTCAAATGTCATTGGAATAAAGTATGCTTTCTTGTAGATTTTGTTCCCAGTTTCCTAAATTTCTCTCTCTCTCCATGCTACCCATCCCACGGCCATTAGATTAAAGATGAAAAAAAAGTTACAATTCTAATTCTAGAAACACTAACAAAATATAAACTTTTTTTTCCTGGTAGAACTCCTGTCCACCAGTTGTGGAAAATTTTGGTGACCCTGCAAAACTCTTCTGGTCACCTTTGAAGACCCATGACATTAAGTGGAACTTTGAGAAATTTTTGGTGAATCCTCAAGGAAAGCCCGTGATGAGGTGGTTTCAACGGACAAATGTTTCCAGTGTAAAGAATGATATTATAAGATACATGAGGAAAAACGGATAGACTCCGTACGAATGAAAATGGATTTAGGGAGGGGAGGCAGGCTGCAGACATATCCAGACATATTCATTTTCTTCTGTCAAACCACCAAACATCCAAATTTCCTTTATTCAGAGCTAAAATAAGGTTAAGACAGAATTAACCTTACAGGGTGCCAATTTACATGCTAATATTGCTAAAGATCCATATCAAAATTCTTAATCTTAACTAACATGTTTTCAAGCATAACTTTATAAAAGCATGTCGATCTCAGTTTACTCAACGATACCTTTAATTTCCATGGGGTGGAACCAGCATGTATTGAAAAACCATTTTAGTAACTTCTGATCCTGCTTTAAACATGTTACTTGAGCATGAGTAAAAAAAACCAAGATAATCTTTGGGTTTTGCATCTCTAGTATATTATGGTACTAAAGAAAAGTGAAGACTATTCCTCACTTTTACTATTAACATATTGATGCAGAATATACTGTACAAATTTTAAAAGCAACAAAATTAAGAATTCTTTTTTAAAGTACAAGCTATACATTGGCCCATTGCGGGTCACAGTATTAAAGTCAATCTAGTTTATTTTTAGCAATTTAAACTCATTTCTAACATTGGATGAACATTAAGTACTATGTTCATTAAGGGTGTCCCACTTAATTTTGTTGTTTTAAATTGCTATGTTATTTTGATTTTAGCAAAAAAAAAATTAATCAGACCTCAGGCACATAACCAAGAGTCTCCTATGGCACCTTAAAGGCTGCAGATTTGTAAGTCTTTGTCTGTTAAGAGACAGAAATTGCATCCATAGTGCACCCTTTGAGCCCTTTCTAGGATCCTTACTAACCATTTGGGTTACACACAGTTCTACTGAAAATAAGCTGAGCCCTCTAATGTACAGTAGATGGAATTAATACTTTTGGCATCTCTGGATAAAGTTACAGTTTACCTCCCCTTCCTCAAAATGTAGACTAGAGAGCCTCATCTAGAGAATTTATGGACTGGAATTTCTCAAACCGACTCTCTTTCTGACAGTGGAGGAAAGATGGGACAAAGGATTTCGAGGCAAGGAAAATGCATCCGAATGACGGTTAGGTCTGAAAGCTCCTTACGAGTGGGACCTGGCCTAAGACTGCAAGGCAGTGGAGTAGTTCTTTAGTGCATTCGGCTACTTCACTACAATCTTTGCAGAGATGTATTTCTTCCTTTTAGTCCCAAGATCCCAGCCTAACCTCCACCACACCTTCTAAGAACACTGTCTAATAAAAACAGCAAATTCTCAATGCACTTCTGTTGTGAGAGACTCTCTTTCAATACAGACCAAAACTCCATTTGACTACTTTCATCATGCAACCGCTTTCGTATTATGAAAGAACCAAGATTTTAAGTTTGAACATATCAGATATATCACATTGCTTCTTGGAAAGGCCATGTATGCACAGTTATGCACCAACTTTCACACAGATATATAAGCTATATAGGTGGCAGAAGCTGAAAAACACTGCTATACATGGGCCGCAGGACTCTGGATGCCCACCAAATGACGTCAAAAATGTAATTGTCAGCTGCATTTTTTTCCCTGCCTTCCAGAGGTTTTTGTGTGTGTGTGTGTGTGTTTTCTGATAGCTCAGATCTGTTATCACTCATATTTGCAGGGTTGCATAGAGCAGGGCTTTTCAACCTTTTCACCCATTGTACCACTTTTAGGATATGGCAATATCCGAGTACCACCAGTCGCCTAGCAAGGTGTCAAAAACTTGATGACCCAAAAAAAAGAAAGAAAAAAGTGATAAAGTACAGGTAGTCCTCGACTTACAACAGTTCGCTTAGTGACTGTTCGAAGTTACAATGGTACTGAAAAAAGTGCCCCCAAGCCACAGCCAAGCAAGACACCTGCCTGCCCACCCGGTGGCGCTCTTCCTCCTGTCTGAGGTTTTTATTGTGAGAATTTCTGTTGAGGATTGGCAGCGGGGGTGGGGTGGGGGGTGTTTGGTTTTTATTCCCCCCATCTGCTGGGTGGTTGCAGCAGGTTTTGGTCACTTCACATGACCCTGGGACACTGTGACCGTCATAAATATGATTCAGTTGCCAAGCATCCGAATGTAAATCACAAGACCCTGGAGATGCTGCAACATTCCAGCTGATCGGCACTTCTTCTGGGCTCAGCAGAAGCACCAGGATCAGCACTGAGCTCCAGCTGGAGCCTGGCGCTGATCCTGGTGCTTCCGCTGAGCCCTGACAGCCCTGCAGCTCCAGCCATCTCTTGCTCAGGCTTGTGCGGTGCTGCCACCGGTTCAGCTCACTCCCCTCCCCCGCTACCACTTTTCTAGGATGGTCGCGTACCACCTGCCAGGTGCCAATGTACCACAGGTGGTACCCGTACCACTGGTTGAAAAGCCTTGGCATAAGATTTCTAGGTTTATAGCTCACAATGTTGGAGCCAGGATGCCATGCACCAAAAGCACATACGTGATAGACACACTATAATATGCTAAATATACTCTCCATGATTTCAAGCATGAATTTGCAAGGGTAGGAAGGGCAGCAATGCTTTCCCCTGGATTTATTCTCATAATATCCAGATTCAAAGAGAAGAAAAGATGCAGCCCTTTGTGAACACTTTTTTCCGCCTTTACCAACATTGCTGTTTGGGGACATACCACATACCTCTGTTTCCTTTCGTAGGAATCTGAAAGGCAGGCAATAAAAACAAGCACATTACAAAGACGTATTTCGTAAGAGAGCAAAACTCAGATACAGAACTCCAGGCGCAGCCCAGGAAAACTTGTATTTTATTAAACTGAACATAGTTAGGATAATTTTGCACAATTTTTCAAAAGCTTTTTTGAAACCAGAATATAGCTAGTAAAATATTGGCCTGCATAAATACAGTGGCAGCTTATACTTAGAACTTCTCAAAATGTTTCGTTAAGAGGTCTCCACTTAGAGACTGTAGACGGACCAAACATCTTATTATATCACTTCTTTCACATCTTCCTACAAGTTATTCTATAATAATTGAAAGATCTATGACAGACAGTAAACTCAGTGAAAATGGTGTTGTTGTTTTTTTAAAAAAAGAGGTTTTGCAGGTTCTTCAAACACTGCCTTTTTCTTTGCGCTGTGAACATTCTGAAATTATTTTTCCTTTTCTTTATTTGATAAAGAAAAAGAAACTCAATTATTTCTCAATTACGTCCTTACTGGTGAACGTGAATCCGATTTTCAAATGAGCATAGACATTCCCTGTTTTACAGGAGCATGTAACAAGCAATTTAGGTCACTTCCAGTGCTACACACTTTGAAAAATGCTTGGCTGGTTCAGCATTTTATAACATTGCTCCAAGGGATCAGTAATCTGTTTGAGAAAAAAAAAGAGACATTTTTTCATATCTGTCGTGGGAAGGCCAAAGATATCCTTTTGCCAACGAAAGGAAATCAGGACAGAATTGTTATATCAGGAAACAAATCTATCTAGTCCACCAGTTAGGTTCAATAGTAACTAGGAATGGGATGAAACAGAAGCAGGAAAGTGAAATCTGGAGTCTTTTTCCCACTGAGCAGTTTAAATAAACAGATATAATTCTACTAAGCAACATGCATGCGATGATGAACTGGTATATTATTCCAACTAATAGGGAGCAAAAAAGGCTGCCATATTTTACAGGGTAAGGTAGAGGGGTAATTAAAACAGTATTAGACAGTTTTCAACTCAAATTGACATTCACTGGGGTTAAAACATTTATTGACAACTACAAGTTTTAATGTGCATGTGAATATATATATATATATTCAGTGTATATTTCAGTGTAGGAAAAGTATCTTTCATTTTTATTCCTATACATTATTTCTTTGTCCTTGGGCAACTACTGAATCCTGAACTTATACAGGCATTAATTACTAGTAAAGGACCGCTGTCCTGCCCAAAGCCTGCTTCCTCTACCAGTAAATGCAAAATTGCCACATCCTAGATATACAGCTGCCCGACTGTAAGAGAATCAGCTAAACATAGGTCCTGTTAATCCAGAATTCCTAGTCTTCATTGCTGGGGCTTGACAGTTGTTCTCTTGCAGCTGAATCCTTGAATGCAGCAGAGAAAATCCTGCTTATTATCTCAAGCATCCAAGTGGTGTGGAACTTTTTTATGCACAAATAAATGTGACCAATATCCCAGAAGTAAAGGAGTTGAGCTGGATTAACACATGAAGGCTGTCTTGCTTCTGCAGCTTACACATATCACCACAAAGTTAAACGGGTCTTTGAGCTTTAGGTAACCCGAGACCTGTAGGGTCTGAAAAGCAAACATATGTATTAAAATAGTTTTCAAATCTTATACAGGTAATCCTCGACTTACGACAATTCATTTAGTGACCGTTCAAAGTTACAATGGCACTGAATAAAGTGACCTATGACCATTTTTCACAATTATGGCCTTGGCATCCTCCCCATGATCGCGTGATCAAAATTCAGATCCTTGGCAACTGCTTCATTTATGACGGTCGCAGTGTCCCGGGGTCATGTGATCACTTTTGCAATCTTCTGACAAGCAAAGTCAATGGGGAAACCAGATTCGCTTAACAACAGTGATTCACTTAACAACTGTGGCAAGAAATGTCATAAAATGGGGCAAAACTCATTTAACAAATGCCTACTTAACAATAGAAATTTTGGGCTCAACTGTGGCCAAGGACTACCTGTTGAGGACTAGCTATGTTACCAAGACCCTAATTCTCCTAGCCAAGACTTGCTAACTTGCACAGCATTCCAGGTGAAATGGATCCTCACCAGTATTAAGCACTCTCATTTCCAAAGCCAGCTTTGGAATTCAAATGTCCTGACTGATATACAATAATTGACATTCAGAAAATTTTGAAGGCCTTTGTGTGTATGTGAAAGCAAACATGAAAGAATTCACTGTCACTGCAGAAGAGCAGAAAAGTATATACTCAGAATTGCAAGCTATGACTCTCCTCTCTCCAGATTTAAACACCCAACCAAACTAGAATGCATTAGGAGCACCCTGAGATCAAATCAAGGAAATATCAGAAAGACAGATTGATAATGATCTCGTTTAACGGAGTCACGAAGACTCTCCAAATGATTCACAAATCATGGTCATGCCAAAATTTCCCATGTGAATCAATTAACAAGCAAATTGATCCTAAAAATGAGAGCTAGGAACAGCAGTACTGAAAAAGATATTCTAGTTATGTCCTGAAAGAATTAGAAAGCTCTTACCAGATTCCTTGGGAAACTGTTTCACTCCATCCCCTCCTTGTGTGTTCTGATTGTGTGCTATAACACATGGTGGGTACCAGGTATAATCTGGCTATAAGAAACAAAGAAAAATAAAAAATGCAATACAATACTATAGAGTAGGTGTGTGTACAGGTAGTCCTCACTTAATGACTAGCAACCTTTCGAAGTTACAACAGAACTTCACAGAGCTACTTATGATCCATTTTTGAAGTTCTGATAGTCCCAACCCCCTTCCCTTCCCCATGGTTATATGATTACATTTTTGGCGCTTAGCAACTGGCTCAAGTTTACAGCTGTTTTCAGCATCCCACAGTCATGATCATAATTTTCATAGGGTTTTGCTGGTTTCTGATGTTTACTTTACTGATTTCTAGTGTTTATTTTACTGGTTTCTGGTGTTTACTTTGCTGGTTTCTGGTGTTTCCTTTCTGGTGCTTTGGGGGGGGGGCGGAAGCGCCAATTGTTTAAAATGGGTTCGCTTTATGACCACAACATTTTCTCAACGACTGCTATAAAAATGACCAGTTATAAAGTCATAAAATCAGGTACAGTCATGTGGTGACCCATTTAATGACTGTCATGACTTACAACTCTACTTCCAGGCCATAAGTTGACAACTAGCTGTAATACGTTTCAATTTGAATTTTTCAAGTTCAACCCCCCACTGCACAACGTCCCACTGTCCTTTTGAGCATGATTTCAAGCATGAAAAACATTCATTTCACATATGAAATTGGCTGTCTATGGAGATTCTGAGTCATCCAGGTCATGGTTGTCCCAAAGGTGCTTTTTCAGGAGGCAACTGGACTTTCTTGTTTTTTCTTTGGAGACGTTTCTCTTCTCATCCAAGAAGCTTCTTCAGCTCTGACTGGATGGTGGGGAATGGAAGGATTTATATTCCTTGCAGACAGCTGATCATTTGCATTCTTTTAGAGAGTCGTTGAATCTCCATAGTCATTTAGCTATGAGCTTTGGGATGAACACCCTTCAAATGGTGCAGGAGTATGGATGGATTTCCAGAAAAATTGCAGACTACAGGAACCATTTGAGCTTCAGTTTGAGATGCAAATAAGACAGACTCATCCCCAACAGCCTGCACCTGTGTTCAACAGTGAAGAGACCCTGGGCAGAAAACATCCTGCAGCCACACACATTTGCACTATTCAGGTGACCCTGAGGACACAGACAAACCTACAAGTGGCCTCAATGACTCTCTAAAAGAATGCAAATGGCCAGTTGTCTGCAAGGAATATAAATCCTTCCATTCCCCATCATACAATCAGAGCTGAAGATGCTTCTTGGATGAGAAGCCAACCATTTTCAAAGAAAAATAAGAAAGTCCAGTTGCCTCTTGAAAAAAGCACCTTTGTGAAATTCGCTGTCAGTCAGCAAAAATGGACAAATACAGTAGTGGCCGAAATTGTGGAAACCTTTTGGGAAAAGGGTATAGTAGAAATGCCACCTTTGGTTAAGTTTCCACCAATTTTTCTTCTAATTTCTTTACAACTGTAGCCTTGTTCACTTAATAATACTATTTTACATCGCTTTCTGGGCAACCAGTCAACTCTTTGCACCATTACTTTATTTTATTATGTTTTACAAGCTCACTAAATGAAAGAAAAAAAAAACCCAACCAACTTAACAGTGATCACATAACACACTGACAAATGTCTTTCTCTCAGCTTCAATGCATGACATCAATAACTGAATCCTACTGTGATGTGATTGGCTCATTGCCAAAACAAGATGGCACCTGATTGGCTCTCTAAACACTCATGCTCATTGGCTACAATCAGATGAAGGAAAGCTACCTGATATCAGCCTAAGCAAGTTGTGCTTCCTTTTTCTGGTTATTTGGCTATAACATTTCATAGAATACAGTAGAGATAATTGAACAAACAATGTTGCATTACATTCTTGATTAAATTATCTTTCCATTGATATATAATTTTATGGTACTACTCCCCCCCAAAAAGTGGTGTTATTAGCCATCAAACCTCAAAAATACACTTTTCCCAAAAGGTTCCCACAATTTTGGCCACTGCTGCATGTACCTCAGACAATTGCTTTATGCTTAAAGATGGGGCATTTTAAACCAGAAAAAGAGCATTTCAATCTCATAACAATTTGAACTGGAGCTTCCCAGCTGTATATTTTCTACTAGAAACTTCACAGTTCTTCATAAGGAATAGCAGCAAATAGAAGGAAGCATCAGTTGTTGAATAAGAAAGTTTACATTCTTGTGTTTCCTCTACACAAATTTTGGCAGAGAACCTGAGAATTCCAATTCTATATTTTTGGATAGAAGAAAATGGCTGGCAATTGCATGCTGTTCTTATTGCTTCTAGTTCTTTACTCTGATATTTCACATTTTGTTAACTCACAGGTGGGAAACGATGATAGTTCTGAATTGGAGGATGCTCATTTGCCACTGCTGGGGGTGGGTAGCGGATCTGCTGCCAGTCCTCAAAACCATGATAAGCATGTGGTTGGACTGGAGGAGAGCACTGAAACTGGTACATGGGGCAGATTGGGGTAATTTGTCCTGGCTGTAGTTCGGGATGCAGTCTGTCACCCGAATGCTGCAAGAGAGAAAGCAGAAAGTTGAAAATGAAGGACCTTTGTGGAAATCCTAGTTTATAAAAGTTAATGATTTATCAACCTAATCAACCTAATTGTTTTGGCTTGGCCTGTGGCTTTTTATCCCTTTTTAAAAGCAACTAAAGAAACATTATTTCCCCTTGTGCAATCTATTCCTAGGATAAGGAAAACAAAATAAAATAGGCAGCGTATAAATATGCACACCCTTCTATTGACAGATGATAGACAGACAGATATTGAGAGGTGGGGGGGGGGGAAGAGTTCTCTCACAATGCCATAGGACAAAAACAAGACAAGAAAAACAAATTAGACCTGATCTTGGCTGTAATTTAAATCGCACAACCTTAGTATATAAAACAAACATTCAAGAACTTTTTAAATCAGGACACTCTCCAAATGTGTGGACTTCAAATCCTAGAATTTTCGCAATGGCCAGAGAAACTGGACAATTCTGAAAACTGAGGTTCACATTTCTGTGGACAAGTTAGGGAAGGTGTCTTTAGATCAGCCTAGACTGACTTCAGATATGATTTTACTAAAATGCAGTATGCAGAACTGACAGACCATTCCTAACATGAATTGGCTATAAGGAAGTTATCAAAATGTACAAAAACAAATTAAATCTGAGCCACATGTTGAAGTTAATCTCCCAATCTTCTTTCTAGTGCCAAAAATCAAGCAACTATGCCATATATTCAGTATTGGGAAGCCATAATAGTAAGCCAACTGGAATTTGCATTTCCATAGTACAGTATTCCATACCTGCTTGTGCTGTTTAAGCAGTTTCTTAAACTTATCCTTTTCTTCCTTCTCTTTGTGGTAGTCTTCTTTAACAATTCGCAGCTGTTGTGAAAAAGAGCACAAATGGAAAAAAAGAATATAGACTTCCATATGCATTACATTCTAGTATTGAGAACAAGCAGACCAATAGACATATTCTACTCAAATCTACAGTTTAGCCAAACTAGATTCTGGATGCCCATTGTGGATCATTAACTCAATGACAGAGTTATTTTTATTCTATAGCTTTTGGAAGATAGGGAGAATATTTTCATAGGGAGCAAGTAAAGTTGGATGGTAACCAAAGAGACAAAACCAGTATAAGAACACATGAAACTATACTGGGCACTGAGAAAAAGAATCATTCAATGACTACAAAGTCCTATGGATTCAACTGCTTTACAACTTAAGTATTTAAACACCTTTATCTCTACTCACTGACCTGTCTTCTTTAATTCCATTATTATTATTATTATTATTATTAATTTAATTTATATACCGCCCTTCTCCCACAGGACTCAGGGCGGTGCACAGCGTATTAAAAACAGTACAAATACAAAGCATAAAAAATACAAACCCCTGTAAAACCAGATTAAAAAACCGAATATTAGAAGCTGTGTCTCTATTTAAAATTATTTTTAAAATCACCCTAAATAAAATCCTCCCTAGGTCAGGCCCGCTTGCTGGAAAAGCCATGTCTTGAGGGCACGG